CTCCTGTATTTAAAAGGGTGAATTGGCGAAATAATCAGGAATGTTTAAAGGGGAGTCCGGTAAGCTTCTTAGACTGGTTTGGCCATTCAATCAAGCCAGAGTCGCCCCCGTTGACTTCATTTCTTACCACAACTCCACTTATTCTACTCCTGGACTAACATTCCTTCTGCTTCCTTTACCAATTAAAACGGGTTAAATACAAAACTATTTTTTATCGAGTGATTATCGATTTAACCATTATGCACAATGTTCGAAGAGTTGCGTTTGAAGGTGGCATTCCGGGACTGCGTTAACCCTGTTTCCATCCGGTGCTCTCAGAGGAACAAGGTTTTGTCAAACATTTGAGCCCTAAACAGTCTTTGTTTCCCCAAATGAGGAGAAAATCATGAAAGAATTTCCGCTTGTTTTACACCTTCACATGTTGGAAATTTAATAAAAATGCGTTGTCCAACGGAAGAGTTCTTGAAAGGGTGGATGTGCTGAATGGCATTTCTCGCTAAGTATATGGAGCAAACGTACCTTCAATCATATGGATCGTATCGTGCGATCTTTCTCTACATACGGACACATGGGCTTTAGCACAAAAGTAGTGTTGCTAATTGGTCGGCCTAAAAAAAAAAAAAAAAAATTTAAAAAAAAAAAACTATTCTCGGTTTGTTGATGGTCACCACTTGCTGATTGTCTTTAATAGTCTCACTGAGGAGACTTATGAACACAGTACCAGTCATTGTGATATTCCTTCCAGGATTCGGGAAACAAAGTATAAGCAATTGTGAATCTTGCAACAAGCCCGAAATCCAAAGAACGTCGTACTATGTACTGTGACATTATTATATACATATGTACAATGTAATTCCGAAACGTGGGAGATAAGAAAGACGAGCTTCCCTAGGTTTCTGCAGACCAAGGTGCTGCGCGAATAGACGTGCCGGGTTGTTCTCCTGGTCTCTAAATGCACTCTGATCTCAAAAGACCAAAAAGAATGGTGTTAAGCTGTCTAATGAATAAAACCAAGAAACCTTTCTATTGGCCAAACCGACAGTGAGGGACGGGCACAAGAGGTTAGCGGCGACAGACGTCTGGGTCGGAGGTTTGGCCCAGGAGAGGGCCGAATGTGATGCCCTTCTCTGGGTCATCCACATCATTGTTGATAGAAGCACGAGCCCATTGCAAAACATAATTATCTCCGTCACCCCCTACCAAATATCGAGATTAAAGAGCTGTTTGAGTTTGATGGGTAGTTCCTGGTATTTACTTATTTTTTCCGTCTTTTTCAAAATTACCAACCATTTTGGACATAAATAATTATTCAGATATCAATTGTGTTGTAATTAGTGTTTTTTATTCAATCATCGACAATACAGAAAAGTTTTTAACAATCGATGCCAAAACACTTTTCTTATTTAACTAATGGACCACTTTTTAAACTAGAATAGATAATTTCGTGTGTTGTGTAAAACGATGTAGTATTTTCAGTCAATTTATTACCAAGCAAGCGTTTTTGAGTGTGTTCTCTCCAAACACACAGGTAATTAGAAAGTTTTTGGCAAAAGAGAACTTGCATTCATCCAATAAAATCAGGTAACAGAGACGGGGAATATCCTCGGGCCTAGGGATTTGGTTCCTATTAATTCGTGTATGGTTCTCGCATACGAAAGACTCAGCTAGCCATTTGCACGATTCTATGATTTTATATCTTGTAAAATGTTAACGTGTTTTTTACACTAATCTCTATCATTGGACTTAACATCGATATAAAATGAAGTAAGATGTTTTCTGCAGTTTTTCACCCAGAATCACATCTCAGCGGATTTTGTTTGTTCAAATCGTTTCCAGTTGAATAAAAACGAGGTGGAAGAAGTTGATTTTGCGTCGGTATCTCTGTACGGGGTCTTTCCACGATATTAAAGGTCGATTCGGGGATTTTGGCGGCTTTCGTTACTAAAATCGGCTTGTATGCTCTTTTGTACGGTTTTCAATGGGATGAAAGTTGTCTCTGAAAATAAGTTTATTTTCTCCTTTCTACTTCTTTTTATTTCCCATGTTTCAGAATTTTATACTGTTTTTCGCCTCCTAAAACCATAAAGTGTACAGAAGTTAATTTTTTGGTGATATACAGGGTGTGCGTTTTAGATGCCCCAGCTTAATTTCTATTGAAACAATGACGAAAAAAAAACCTGTTTCATATTGAGTCTAGTTTCAGATTTTTACCCTTTTTGGTGAAAAATTTTAGGGGGTGTATCAGCTCCAGTTCAACTTTCAAATTTCAAATACGACCTTATACATTCTGACAATCATTTTGAAGGATGTTTTACGCTGAAAAGAATGGTGAATCGGATTTATATTGGTCAAAAACCACAACGTTACGGCAAAAAGAAACCGGCAGCGTAATTTCGACGAGGATCTGACTATTAATGCACGTTCGCGAAAATCCGAATTCCTCTCGCCGAAATGTTGGAAGGGTTTCAGGTTTTTCAAAAAATAAAATTTGAAATGTACTACAATCTTAAACCGCATCGCCCTCATCTTGTCCAAGGGACTTCGGGATTCTGATTATGACAGGCGTCTAAATTTCCTTGCACAAATGTCGAGTCGAGGCTGAATAAAACGTTCTTTCATACATCCTATGGACTAAGAATCCATGCTCTAATGGCATACTAAGCCGTTGGAATTTTTGAACGTGGGCAGAGGAAAATCCGAGTACTTCGTACTCTTATCATCATCAGGTGGTTCACAGTGTCAACGTTTGGTGTGGACTTGTGGGAAATAAATTAATTGGACCTTATTTCTACGAAAATAATTTAAATAGTATTGTTCCTCAATTTCTTGAGGGAGGTTTTTACCATCACTATTAGATGATGTTCCTCTGCAACCACGACACAGAACGATTCTCTAGCATGATGGATGCCCCGCACACAATTCTTTGCGGATGAGACGTTATTTGAATCGTCACTTCCGGGATCCCAATTGCTACATTGTTTTCAGAGTAATAAATCCTTTAAAATGAATCGATGAACCGCTCTGGAAAAAAAGACGATAGGCCTGATATCCTCTTCATTCCGATACCAACTTTTCAACGATCGCCGCTTAATTTTGCATTTTCTCTTTACCACTACGTGACATGTGTACTTCATCCCGTTTGCCCCTCCAGGTACTCTCACCACTCTTCGCTCCAAACGCTCTCCAGTTTCTTAATTCACTTTTCCACGAGTACGCCATTCTCCGCAGTTCTCGCCCCGTCAAGTTTCAACGATCTGCTTCTCATCGTTAAGCATTACTCTTATTTATTTATTTACAGATTATACCCATTCACAAAAAAATCATTACCTTTATAGATGAGCTCGCACGTTTTTAAAATATTTGTGTTAATTTCATTTTATTTTATGATTAATAAAAACATGTTATTTGTGTTATTGTTTATATTTTGTGATTTTCGTTTTATTCTTTATCTTTTACTTGTAAATGACAGGGTTGTTATTGCTCTATGAACGAAATGACGAGCTGTTCATCTTTTGTTTAATTCTTCTAATTTTTGTTTGGTTTTAAATTGAAATTTATTATTTTCCCCACTGAGTATTACATATTCCTATATTACCCTGCATATAAACTATACTACATTATCATGGAGAAGTCTGAAGCATTCTGGGTTTCAAGCAGTTGGTTCATTCATAAACATATTTGGTGTAGTTTATCAATAAAACCTGAAAATAAACTATTCACCTCCTTTCTGGAATGTTCTGTTGGAAATAGCATTTGAATAAATTATTTTGTTAATTGATCGGTCAAAATTTTCTCTAAGTAATTACGTTAACACATATTTTATTATACAAATAACCCAACACATTTTAAATTATTATTTTAATTTATTTGAAAGAACCCTATTAGCGGAAATATCGTTATGGTTTTCAGTAGGATTTCCCATCGAATTTTGTAGTTTGGAATTTCGTTTTGCCAAAACGAGACGTGTAACATTGACATTAAACCAATGCACGTTGACAGTGATTAGAACTCAGTGTTTCATTACTGTGATCTCAAATTCTTGACGATGATGGTACAAGTCAAATTTGGAGGTTAACCGATTTCAAGTCTTTACATTTCTGTTAGAAATCTACATTCTTTTAACCAGGAAATATTTAATGTTTATATGATTATTTATTCAATATTCAAGCAATTTATCTATGATATTTCTGTATTGTGTATATAAGATTAATATTTTTACTCGGACGATTGCTGCATGTCCAAGGCAAAGAAAAAAAAATGTCTTAAGACCCATCCTCTGCATATTTTTTAAATTCCGTTTATTTTACTGCTCCTTCCCTTAGTGACTATGGGCAACAATACAAGTTTACATAAAAGGATTTACATACAACTTTACATTTTTTACAATTGACTTATTTTTTACACGTTTGCAACACTATTATGATTTACATACAAATTTATATTTTACACCCTCGCCTTAATTTTTTTCACTCTTATTAACACACATTTATATGTACAAACAACTGTCGCAATTTTTCTAAATTAATTATGTTAACAAATGTTATAAATATTACATATTATTTTTTAATCCATGTTTCTTGTGATGTGTGCCAACTGTTCCCTGTATCGTAATGTTTCTTGCGAGCGGCATTATGTCATAATCAGATCTTGTATGTTTGGGGCTCCAGCCACACGGGCATTCATTACTTTCGGTTATATAAAGTCTTGACAGATAAGATCTGTTCTTTCCGTTTGCTATCATGTTATGGTATCGAATGTCGTTTAATATATTAAGGAGATTTCACTGTCAGTCTGTATTAAAACCGCCTTGTACAAGTCCCAATCGTTGTCATCTCGGATCCTCTGTACCGCTGTTTATATTACAAGCAGCTCTGCCTGATAGTACACCATGAAGCTAATTTATATTACTCTATGCATTTAACACTCTCCCGGCTGGTTACCACAAATGCGCAAACTACATTGGCCTGAATTCTGCTCCCATCCGGGTATATCTCATATGTATACTTGCTTCAGCGGTACGTATACTAAAATAGGAACGACACAGGGAAGATTAGTATGACCCCTGCGCAAGGATGACACGCAAAATCGTGAAGAGTTCCACATTTTTGGGGCACAAATGGGGTCTTGGCTCTCACTGTTGAAGCTGGATGTCTGTACAGCCCCCGCAATAAATGCTGAGAAACGCCAGAAGTCGAACTTTTCCGACCAAACCCCAAGTCCTAGCACCATGTTCCCGTCGTGGTACCCGGGCAACGCCATATTTGGCGGCCAACGGTGCAAAGAAAAAGGCGACGTCCCGCCGCCTAAACCGAGGCAACAGACTAAATGAGACGACCCTGTCAGAAAACCCTAATCCAAGTTGTTATGCGATCCGTGGTGATGAATAAATAACACAGAGGTAATTGTATCGTAAACGGAGCCTCAGGGGCACTTGGCGCCACCCCTGAGTACTCGAATCGCCCCACGCCAAAGTTGGTGTCCTCTTGCCGCGGACTATTTACACCCAGATTTTCGTGGGAACGACTTATGAATCAAGCAAACAATCAGAGCAGTATTATCAGATCGACAGCTGCACAGTTCAGCCTAGAACCGGCAAAAAATAAACAAAGAGGCATCAAGCTTTTGTATGCACAGGTCGATAAACTAGCATATTAAGTGTAAATGTTGGCCGTGGAAAATTCTTATTTTACTTCACAACTGGTAGCGTTAGTACGCAACCATTCTAAGGACGCATCAGCTGATGCCATCAACGTTGGTCCAATAAAGGCGGTCATAACACCAACCTTACAGAAGATAGCCGATGACCTGCGAGCAGCGACAGCCACCAACTCCAGCCGAAGCGGAATATCATTTGTTAAAGAAGTGGTCAGGGAATTAAAAGAATGTATGGAAAAGGTGCAGAAACTGGATAAAGAAGAAAATTATGCGATACACAGCGAATAATATAAGAGACGTAGGCGCCGAGGCTTGGATCTTAGCGGCAGTGCGAATGGCCCCACTGAGCGCCCAGGCAAGAGAATCCTGCCTAAAAAGAAAAAAACGCCAATTAACAGGAATGGAAGAAAATATAATACAGGAGGAGGTGCATGAGATAGAAGGTACAGTGACTGAGCATACAAGTCAGCGTGAGGAACAGTGGAAAGTTGTAACAAAGAAAAGGTATGCAAAGGACAAAAGAAAGAAAAACAATTGACGAGCAAAAGATTGCTAAAGATATGGCGAAAACTGTAGCCAACAAGGATATGATGGTCCTTATTGACTTACCAGAGGGAATGGTCCCCTCTGAGCTCCTCATGATGGTCAAGGAAGTCATCAACCCGAGACGAACCGAAATTAAAATATATACGTATCACCTCCAAAGGTGGGGGAGCAATTCGGGTTAACGTTAAGGCTGATATGTTGAATGGCCCGGGCTTCCAAGGAATCGGTGTTAAGCCACGGCCACTAGTGAAAAGGAATCCCCGAGTCATTGTTATAAGAGTTCCGAAAGTAATGACACCGGCCGTTGGAACAATTCTTAGCCAACAACGTTCATATAAGTAATGTTCCTCCTCATCGACATCACGGCTGGACACCTTCACAATAGACCATCCTGAACACGGCCGATGATGGTCGTGACTAACTTCCGGTTATGATAAGGGTAACCGTTGGAACGGAAAAAAGGGTGAACACCCAGTAACGTCTCTCTTGATCTGAGGAGGCTTCAAAATGTATTGACATAGGCCCTACATCCTAACGAATACGGAGGTACACCAGCGGCTTAATCGGTTTAACGAGAATAACCAGAGTCCTTATTTTGTTTTCGTGGAAAGCTTAGAAAAAAATTTGGGAAACGCGCACCCACTGTTATTTGGAAATGGTTGTTTCAAGATGAAAAAATAAACCGGAACAATGTCCTGCAAATAAGAGTAGCAGGTAAGAATAGAATCAAAATAATTACTGCGGACTATGAAACGGCAAACTACCTCACGGAAAGCGATAATCTGAGAAAAGAGAAATTGTTTACGTACATTCCATAATTTCTCACAAAAAATTAGGAGTTATACGAGATGTGGACATTGATTTAAGCACGGCAGAAATCCTACAAAACATCCAGAGCACCATTGAACCCCTATCAGTAGAAAGAATGTACCGATATATGTATGAAAATGACAAGGTGAAAGTAATAGCACTATCAACATGCTTAATAACATTTCAAGGCCAAAAAATTCCTGAATTTGTCACAATATATGGAGGCTACTGCCCCATACGTCCATTTATACCACCTGTTAGACAGTGCACAAAGTGCCTACGTTTCTTCAACTCATCAACGCAGTGTCGTGGAAAACAACGATGCCCTAAATGTGGTGAGGAGCATTCCCTAAAAGATTGTTACAAAACCAACGTAGACCCAACATGCATTCATTATGCAAACAAACACCTATCCAATGGTAGAGATTGTGAAATATTTAAAAAACTGAATAGTGGAAACCAAAAAAAGCCCTCTTAAGCTACATAAGCATCAGTCGTGACAAGTAATAGATATAACGTATTAGACTTACTACAGGTGGATAGTGAGGACGCATTTCCGACACTAGCCAACTCTATGCAAAATTCCGATAGGAAATCATTCATAAAAACGTACACAAGTGTCCCTCGCTCCAGCAAACTAGACATTAACGAATACCCAGAGCCAACCAACAAAACGAGACCAAGAAAAATCCCAACCCCCTCCAAAGGACCAATGCAAGCCAATCCTTGGGCCAGCTCGGAAGCGAAAAACTCATACACCAGCTAAATAAAATATCAGCAGACATACAACATAACCAACATAACATGACAAAAGACAAAATTATAGATCAGGTCGGACTAGTTCTTTGCAACATGGTAATGAAGAACCAGGCAGCAGTGAAAGCCATTGAGGCCAAGTATCACGAAAACCTAAATACATGAATTATCCAAGTCAACGAAAACGCTAAATAATAAATTTAAAATATAAAACTATATACAAAAACTGATTTAATATTTAACCACCAATAATAAATACAAAAACTTAGAGTAAATACAATTCCAATACTCAAAACAATAATATAAAACATGATAACAAACACGAAAACAACTAACTTAAAAAAAAAAACACAAAAAAAACAGCAAAGGCAAATTAATCTTCCTCATATAGATTCCTACTCTGTCTAAGTAAAAAATACGCTTAAAAAAATAAAAAATTATGGAGCAATTAAGTATCATACAATGGAACATACGCTCTCTGCCAGCTGATAGAAACACGCTTGAATTACAAGTAAGAAGGGAAGGAGCGGACATAGCTTTATTGTCGGAAACGTGGCTAAACCCGAAACACGCATATGAACTCTCGGAATATACGTTACTTCATAAGGATAGGGTGGATGGATATAGTGGAAGTGCTATTATGATACACAAGGGGCTAAAATTTGAACCAATAAATGCTACAAACAATTACCAGGACTTCATTCAGATCACAGCCGCTAAAGTCTATGCTGAACCTGATCCCGTAAATTTCATATCAGTATTCATTAAACCCAACCGGACAATTACGGAAACGATATGGTTGGAACTATTTTCCAAATTCACACACCCAATTTACATAGGAGGGGACCTGAATGCTCATCACTTCTCATGGGGTTGTTCATACAAGGACGCGTCGGGGGACCATCTACTATCGGCGTTAGACCAACTTCTACTTTGTTTCCTTAACGACGGGTCACTCACAATTATTAATAAGATTGGGAAGAAAAACTCAGCACCAGATATAACACTCAGCTCAGCGAATATAGCACCCAAGATTAAATGGAAAACGCTACCAGAAAATTTTGGTTCAGATCATTATGCACTTTTGGCTATCCTACAATCAGAATCGAGAATAATAACAAAAGCCACTACCGAGAGATGGCTATACAAAAAAGCCACTTGGGAAAATTATACCCAGTTTTTAAGCTATCAGATCAAGAAAGAAAATCCAGAAAGCTGTGAGAAACTGATCGTGATAACCAACCAAGACGCTGAACACTGCACCCCGCGGACAAAAGAGAAAAGCAAATGAAAAGGCTGTCTCTCAGGAAGAAAACCAAAATACTTGTGTGACGAAGAATGTCAAGTTGAATGGGAAAAGAAACCGAAAGATTTAAAAAAATATAAGAAAAACCCGACCCAAACCACCTTCATAAAATCCCAACAATCGGCAGCAATATGCAGAAAGTTTTTAAATGAAAAGAGGAATGAAAGTTGGCGAAACTTTGCAAACTCACTTAATAGACACATCAATTGGTTGGGTGTGGGATAAGATAAGGAAAATAAAAGGAAGAGAACACACTAGACAAGAACCACAATATACATAGAAGAATTTATGAACCTGGTAGCCCCACCATTAGCACAGGAGGACATAACAACCGAGGATATAAAAGTGAATAATACCGATGAAATAGACAGCCCACTCACAATAGAAGAGCAAGAAAAATCTATATCAACTGGAAAAAGTACATCCCCTGGTTATGACCAAATCAATTACGAAATGCTAAGATATCAACCAACCAATGCAAAGTAAATTATTCTGCAGATCTTTAACGAAGTGTGTGGATGAATGGACACACAGTAGAACAATGGAATTATCAAGTCATCGTTCCTATATGCAAACCAGGCAAAACTGCAGACCAGCCGACTTCATATAGACCAATCACGCTATCTTCCTGTGTGCTTAAAACATTTGAACGGAAAAACTAGGTTGGAATGGTACGTGAAAAAATCTAACATTTTACCGGACTTCCAACATGGTTTCCGCAAGCACCATAGCACCTATGATAATCTGGCAAGCTTCCTAAATGAATGCGACAAGAAAAGAAAAAAAAACTTTATTCCTACCTCCCCCATTACACCGAGAACCAAATTTTCGATTTTCCCACAATACTCAACAACAAACCATGATCGAAACCAATTTTTTGACAAATTTTATGAAATCGACGAGACTGAACCGCGTTTTTCACACAAAAACTTGAAAGAATCCTGATATCTCAGTCGAACCCGTGATATTAGCCCACTGGCTTACCAAAATCTGGCCATGAATTTAATAACGGAGTTAACCACACAATCCACGAA